GGCAATGGTTTCCACACTGATTTGGCCAGGACCCTATCCCTCTGGTTGATCCTGGGGTGCCTGTAAATGGGGTCTTGTGTTCCAGATAGCACTCCTTTCTGAGATGAGCCACAAGGACCACGGTAAGCCTACTCTGACTTAAGTAACCCCACCAGCATCACCTCTGTAATCCAATGTCCTTGCCCAGTGTGGCTAAAAGTGAAGGGTTCAGTAAATATTGTACAGTTCTGTGATACCAGGAAGAGATAAAACGAGGTGACCAGAACACCGACCCTTGCCCTGTCTCTCACTGTGTGAACACCCAGTATGCTGCATTTACTCTCGGTACCAGGATGAGCTCAGTTTCCATACACCTCGATGTCTCCACCCAATCCTGATTGGGAGGAGCACTCTGTGTGTGTAACATTCTGGTTATCAACACCACGATAGATCAGGGGAAATGCCAGTCCCCAGGGTGAATAAAAGCAGTTAGGGACCCTCAGAATTCAGTGCACAAGTCCCACAGCCCCATGGATTTGCTGCCATCACGCATGGCTCAGCACATTGAGCTCAGATGCAGCTATGCAGGTCAAGGGGCTTACGTCACACCTCCCTAGTGACCCTGCCCTCTCGCCAAGGGGACAGCTCACTGCTGGGCTGTCCCTTCCTCCACGTTATATTAAAACCCTCCAGGACTCTGAACAAACACTGCAGATAAAGGGATGCTTAAAACACTGGACAGTTCATCTTTCATTTCCTTGACAGGTACAAATCCGTGTTTATCATTTTAGAGTGTATATAGCAGGGACTCGGAGGAAGAAAAGGAAGAACAGTTGCAAATGACTTCGGCAGACAGACAGCGTGCATGTGGCAGGAGGTGGCTGTACCGTAGCATTTCCTGCAAGTTTCTTAAGAGTCTATCTGTGGGCGGTGTAACGCGAGGGAAGGGAAGAGCCTGCACAAGGAAGCCGACAGGATCCTGCACGTCACTTCAGGCTGTTTCTGGGTTGGTTTCTTATTTTTCTTCATGTTCCAACAGTCCTTTGAAACAGGTGGCATGATAATTGCTACTCTTAAAGTCATTTATTCTAATAGCTTTTCCTAACCACGTGTTTTCCAGACTAGAATCACTTTGAATTTTTCTTGCTTTATTATTTTATATGGATCCTTCTCTTCTTTTCCATGTAGGGAGGGTGTGCTCTTAGCTCTGTGCCGTAACTGAGCATCGGCTCCGTAACAAGATCACAACGGCAAGAGTATCAGCCATCACTTACAGATTTGAGGGAAGAGAAGGAATAAAACCAAAGTTCAACAAAATACTTTAATAGTCTTTTTTATTTGACAAACATATCTATCATCTAAAAAATTACAGACGTGAGCATTTGAGTAGGGATCTGGACACCACTTGAGAGACACAGGCACACATTCCGTAGCAGAACGCTTGGGGTGGCGTCCCCACGAAACTCCTGATTCCACTTCCTGCTAATGGACAACCTGGAAGGCACTGAATCCTTGCCACCACTTGGGAGACGCAGGGTGAGCTCCTTGCTCCCAGTTTCAGCTTGTCCCACCTCCGGCTGCTGCAAGCACCCGTGAGCTCGCTCTCTCTCTCATTCTTGCTCTCACCCCCCACCCCGTCTTGCTCCAATTTTCAAATGAATAAAATGCAAAAATAAATGCATAGATAAAAGCTGTATAATGAGTAGTTCTAAAGACAGCAGGTGTTGCAAAAAGTGTGAATGAAACTTCCCTTTTAACATTTAAGAAAGAACTGATATGCTGTAGAAGAGGCAATAATACCAAATAGGCTCTCTTAAATATGTCATTTTTGAGTTAGCAAGTTCAACCCAATGACAAGATTGCTGCTTTATTGCAGTAATGGTGGTAAAAGTATCCATTCCATACCATTCACCATTTCAGCCAGTTTTAAGTGGCATTAAACATATTCAGATTGTTATACAACCATCACCATCAAATGCAAAACTCTCATCCTCCCCTACTGAAACCCTGCGCCTTCTAAACACAGGATCCTTCTCTTCTTTTCCATGTAGGGAGGGTGTGCTCCTATCCTCCCAGGCAGCCCCTGGAAACTGTCATCTACCTACTGTTTCTGTGAGTTTCACTGCTTTAGACAAGTGGGACCACGTGGCTACTCATCCTTTTGGGGCCGGCGAATTGCACTTAGAATAATACCCTCAAGATCATGGCAGAGTTTACTCTTCCCAGCTGTCAATATCCTCCCATTCTTAAGTCACCTCCTTCACATCCAGGAGAAACACACAGTTCTCTTTTAGGAAATCATTTTAGCCGTGTCCTGGAAAATGAATTCTGTCAAACATAGCAAATAAATGCCTTTGTTCTGTCACCAAGTTAACGCTAGCAAAAGACACTCCAAATACTTATGTAGTCCCCACTCATATATTCAGGTATGTTTGTGATATTAGCATTAAATAAGGTTTATTCTTTTGGAGAGGAATTATATTGTGCAGATATTTTGGTTCTAAAATGCTGTGAGGTTCACTCACTCCACGATGCACCTATTTAATTATCAAAGTGACTATTTATATAATATACCAAATATATTTGATCCTATACAAAAACTTAGGAGGCTTAGTATCTGGCAGTTTCAAAGTCACAATCACCTATGTGGAGCCTTCTCTTCCAGTCTTCCTAGGTGACCCCTGGAGAGTGAGTTCTGGAACTGCCATTGGAGAGTGTTATCTAGGATGGCAGGCAATCCTGCACCCCAAACCTGTGGTGTTGAAATCACAAACATTCCCCAGCCTTGTCTACTGAGGTCACAGCTCCCAAAGCAGCTGAGTCCTTGTCCAGAAAGGAGATGACTTGTTGACCTTCTGTTTTCCCTTAAAAGCTTCCCTCCTCCATTGGTCCCTTTATGTGAAAGCTAAGGTGTTGTGAGGAGACACCCACCTCCCAGTCGCTCATCTTCACCATGCACTGGGTAGCTCCTTATTTAAGCGCAGTCGGCATTGCCAGGCTTTATTTAACTTTCTCCTCATCCTCGTGTCCATATCCAACACAGCCTGCTCTCCAGTAGGAGTAACACCAGGAACAAACGGCGTTTCTTCTCATGTACCTAAATGTGCTCATCAAGATCACAGACTAGGGGCTAGTGCAGAGGTGCAGTGGATTAATCCTCCGCCTGTGGTGCCTGCATCCCATATAGGTGCCAGTTCTAGTCCAGGTTGCTCCTCTTCCAATACAGCTCTCTGCTGTGGCCTGGGAAAGCAGTGAAAGATGGCCCAGGTCCTTGGGCCCCTGCACCCACATGGGAGACCCAGAAGAAGCTCCTGGCTCCTGGTTTCAGATCGGCGCAGATACAGACGTTGCGGCCATTTGGGGAGTGAGCCAACAGACAGAAGACCTTCCTCTCTGTCTCTCCCTCTCACTGTCTGTAACACTATCTCTCAAATAAATAAATTCAATCTTAAAAAAAGGATGACAGACTGGCTGAAGGTCTTTTGGGAGTTCTTGTGCCATCATGTTCTCTCACCCCACAGGGCTCAAGTGTGCCTGTTGGGTTTCTCTGTGAGGAAGAGGGCTGTCCAGACTCTGAGAACCACATCAGGGCTGATGTCTTCTTTCAATTCCTTGTCATGGAACCTTTGGCAACAGAAATTCTCAAGTTATGTAGCTATATTTAGAGCCTACGGTAGGACATGGTCACGCTGTGAAACTTGTCTTAACGTGGTGTGATATGAAAGCCTATTGGGATCAATTAAGGGATTTGATTCATACCATGGAAGACATCCATCAAAACACCATTTTTTAGAATGTGGGAAATTGACAAAAATTGTGATAATAGGATTTAAAATAAGAAATTGGCACTTCCTGGCATATGGCTCCAAACATCATTGTAACTTCCTAAACTTTATGGGTGCTAAGAGCTTCTCTGGTTCTAAGTTTGTTCTTTGTCCCCAGCTGATGCAACTCCAAAACCCAGTGGACTTTCCTGAGTGCTAGGAGCATCTCTGGATGGAATGAGGCGACTCCACAGGCTCCTGGATGGGGCTGTTACCAGGAAGATCCAATCACACTTAGAGGCTGGCATTTTCAGTCCCACCCCTTGTTCTGTAGGGAGGAGAGGGAAGCTGGAGAGTGAGTTAATAAATAGCCACGCATTTATGATGAAACCCCCATGAAAGTCCCTAAAATACAGAATTCAGAAAGCTTCCAGGTTGGCAAACACATCCCAGTGCCAGGACAGGGGTGCACCCAGTTCCACAAAGGGACACTTTTGTGCTAGGTGCCCTTCCATATCTTGCCCTGTATATGTCTTCCTCTACCTGCTCACCTCTTCTATCATAAGCTTTATAATGTAGCAGCAGGTGTAAGTGTACCTCTAAATTCTGCAAGCCCTTTGAACAAGTGCTGGAACAAACCTGAGGGGCTGACAGTAGGGACTTCTGATCAGACAGATGTTGTGGGTGGCCTGGAGAACCACCACCGGCAATCGGCTGCTGAGGTGGGGGACACTCTGTGAAGCTGCCATTTTCCTGTGAGGTCTGTGCCAACTCTGAGCAGAGAGCTAGGACTGTACTGAGCTGAATGATGGGACACCCGACAGCTGTCTACCGATTGGATAACGTGGGGATCTGGGCTTTCTCCTCCCCCACACGCTGGCCTCCAGAAGTGAGGTAGTCTGAGTGCAGGGGAAAACAGTGAGATTTTCCTGTACTGTCATGTGGATATTAATCTTTGAGAATCAATTTCAATTCCAGTCTGAGTACTGGAAGAGAGTGTACTTGCCTGTTCCAAACATGATGGAACACTCTCGTTCTTACTAAAATTCTTTTTACAGTTGGGCTTGAAATTGGTTGTCTCAGCCTTCCCTGCCCACCAGGGTGTTTCTCCACTCAGTGACATGGGTGGTCCAGCTACATACTTGACCTCCAGAATTCAATGTTCCACAGCCACAAGTCATTCAACTAAAGTGCCAACTCCAAGATCTAGCTGCACCCTTTCTCCCCATTAAAAATTTCCTTTGTGGGCTATAAACCATGACGATCACTTCCACTTTCACATCCTGGAAGTCTCTTATTCAGGAGCAGGTGATGGTAAGATCAATGCTGACATTGATCAAGGCCAATGCAGTGCATTTTGGCTCTGTCTCCTGGCAGCTGTTTGACCTGGAAGAAGTTGCTTGTCCCTGTGAACCCCTTCCTCTGTAAGATGGAAATAACGGCAAATAATTTGCAAATTCTTGTGAGGAATAAAATGAGGCTTTCATTTACAAAGTGAAAATATCTTTCATTTTAAACCTTTGTCAAACAAGTTGTCAAGTTGATACACTAGTATAGTTTTAATGAGCCGTGACTATTTTAAAATTTACTGTATATGAGTGAAACAGACATATTTCTATATTCTTGTGAACTACGGTCTTTTTTAAGTCCTATGTGTTGAACTCTTTATTTAGTGGAATAGTAAGACTTTGACTATAATGTAAACTAAAAATATGTTATCTCAAAAATTAAAAAGTAAAAATAAAAAACAAACACCATGAATTTGTAGTCGTATTATTTAAATAAAGAGCACTCTTGAGAATGCAGAATCATATTCTTCTAAATCTTTCATGACCAAAATAAAGCAATTCCTTTAACTTACTCACTTCATATAGGATTTTCTGAAAAAAAAATTGTTTTATTGATTTCAACTATTGTAAGAAATTCTTCTTCTAAGATTATAATTTTTGGTACCTTTGTTCTTTAGTATATTATGTGATTAATGGATGACACATGACACAATAAAACATAATTTTATATTACATGATGTATATTTAAAATATGAACATACAATTGTTATAACTGTATTATTGTATATTTTTAATATTTTATTTATTTATTTGAGAAGTAGAGTTAGAGACGGAGAGAGAGGGACAGAGAGAAAGGTGTTCAACTGAAGACTGTTCACTACTCCAATGGCAGCAACAGCCAGAGCTGGGCTGACACGAAGCCAGGCGCCGGAAGCTTCTTCTGGGTCTCCCACACGGGCACAGGGGACCAAGCGCTTGGGCCATCTTCTATTGCTTTCCCAGACCACAGCAGAGAGCTGGATCAGAAGAGAAGCAGCTGGGACCTGAACCGGCACCCATATGGGATGCTGGTACCGCAGGTGGAGGCTTAGCCCACTATTGTATGCTGTATTATATGTTATAGATTACATGCCATTTACTACATTTTGTATTTAATATATTATTCTATTATCAAGATTATAAAAAGACAAATATGATGTCAGTTTTTAATCTTCCAAATTTTTCTAGTTTTCAAACATGTTCTTAAAGTTATCCATGAGAAAATGTTGTTGTTAAGGTAACTTTAGTGGGGCCAATGCTGTGGTATATTGGGTTAAGCCACTACCTGTGACACCAGCATCCCACAGGACCACCAGTTCGAGTCCCAGTTGCTCCACTTCTGATCCAGCTCCCCGTTAATGTGCCTAGGAAAGCAGCAGAAGATGATCCAAGTGCTTGGGCTTCTGTACCCACATGGAAGATGCGGATGAAGCTCCAGGCTCCTGACTTTGGCTTTGCCCAGCCCTGGCCATTGTGGCCATTTGGGGGAGTGAAACAGGATGAGAAAACCTCTCTCTTCCTTTCTCTATAACTCTGCATTTCAAATAAATAGTTTTTTTAAAAAATGTAACTTTAGTAAAATTAGTAGACAATGTTGGAGTGTTTAGATAATTTAAACTACTGTTTGTGTTTTCTCTGGAAGTGTGCTTATGTCCTCCAGAAATTAATGTGTATGCATACACATCAAATTATGGATTAACAGTTGTGGGTAAAATGGTCTTTCATTTCAATAAGTCAGGCAATAATTTAGTCAAATAAGATGTTTCCTCTTTAATTGATGGGTCGACTGATTCAATTTCAAAGATTGACTACTCAGGTCTTAGGTAGTACATTGCAGACAAAAGATAAAGCAGAATAACAACAACTACAAAAACCCTATTTAGAATTCTTGATTTTTCCCCATAGTTTTGACAAACAAATGCCATTCTAAAATTGAAAATACAACATATTTAAAAACATTTAGCATTAATATTGTCATTGTTATCTATGTAATAAATTGTGTTTAATATGCTTTTAACTTCACAGGCCTGGTTGATCAATTTTCCCCATGGATGTAGCCTTAAGCTGTAGGCAAGCGTCCACATCAGTGTTGGCTATGGTGACAGTCTTTGCACACATAGTGGTCTCCAGGCTGCTCGGGATAAAAGCACAACATTGTACAAGGGGCACCACAATGACAACAGCAGACAATGGTGTTAACCATGACTTGTTCTGCTGAGGGAATGAAGAGAATGTTAAACATCCACTTGTGTACACAGTTTTTAGTAACTGTATACAGCACTGGACAAAAGTCTTGTTGTTTATTGGAGTATTTGTACATTTTTTTGACTGACATAACTTGCCCAAATCATTCCACCTCCAGGGTTAGCACCAAGAAAGAGCCATCACCAGAAAATTAAGTTTTCACACTCCCCTCCCTATCTTCAACCTCAGAAGCCACTGATTGCAAACCAGATTTTGCTGCCTCAAACCCAGGAATCTTTTTCTACATTGTTCTCATCTATTTCACTAAGGATACACTGCTTCAAAGATAACCACTTGGTGAGACTGAAATCTACCTATAATGATGGAAATCACATATAGAGGAGGGGGTGCCACCAAATGGGGTCTCATGCTGTAGCATGCAGGTGGCTGGCAGTCTGGAAATGCAGAGTGACATAGACACAGGATATGTGGCTGATGAAATACTAGCCTGAGTACTTGTTTGGGGATGTTTTCAGGGGAGGTCTTAGCCATCACATGAGACAGGCTATAAATTCTCCATGCTGCAGGCTTTTTGATGGTTCCAGTCCCAGAGGTGGTGGAGGACTCAGACTTCCCCCTATGGGTAGAGAGTTATAGGGCATAAGTGGATTGCTTTAGAGCCACATAAACCTGATTTGTTCCAGGGCAAGTCGCTGAACCTTCTTACTAGGTATAATGGGGGCACTGCTATAGCAGACCATCTGATCAGCTTCAGTCCAATCAGGAGACAGAGATTTTAAGAGGAAGATTAATATATGTTACAAAGCATATGCATGTTCCACATAAAAATTACCAAACCATGAGACAAGCAACCACAAAGATGCAAACAGACCACAAAGGATGATCTTGACCTGAGGGAGAAGACGACTCAAGGGAGGAAAACCTTGGAAGCATTCTGTCCTCAAGGCTAGATCTTAGCAGAGGTGTAGCTGTAGACCTGCAGTCCAGTGGACAGCAGCGCTAGGCTGCCATTATCAAAGTCGATCCAAGATCACTGTGTAAGCAGAGACAACTCTGGGGCAGACAAGCTAAGGATGGCAGGCACCAAGGCAAAGGATGGCAGGTGTTGCTGTGGGCACTAGATCTTAAGGGCTTCCATTGAGAAGACTGGGGCATTGTGGTCACCAAGAGAGTGCACATGCAAGCCAAAGAGACTGCATGCCTGACCACACAAGACCCTGCAATGCAGCAGAAGCAAAAATGCAAGCACAGCACCCTGGGCTTCCTGGAATGTCCCTCCAGAGCCCCCTCCTGCAAAACCCATCATCACTGCCCCCTAGGAGGAAAGCTCCTCTGGTTGAAATCCTGGAATCAGTCATGGATCTGCCACTCTTGTGTAGTGCACCATGTCATTTCTCTTCAGGATTTGTCCTCTATATTTATAACCTGGGTTCAGTGTTTTATGGGATCTACCAAGAAATTAGTTTCAAATTTCTCTGCTGATTAAATTCTATTTACTATATTTTGATTAAGTAGTAATGCAACATTGTAAATAAAGCCAATGGAAGCCATATGATGACAACGGTGATAAAATATTGAATAACAGCATTTAGGAATAGTAAGGAAATTGTACTTTTAAGCAGTACAGGTGCTCTGAATTTTTTTTTTTTTTGACAGGCAGAGTGGACAGTGAGGGAGAGAGACAGAGAGAAAGGTCTTCCTTTACCATTGGTTCACCCTCCAATGGCCGCCACGGCCAGCGCACCGTGCTGCTCTGAAGCCAGGAGCCAGGTGCTTCTCCTGGTCTCCCATGGGGTGCAGAGCCCAAGCACTTCGGCCATCCTCTACTTCACTCCCGGGCCACAGCAGAGAGCTGGCCTGGAAGAGGGGCAACCGGGACAGAATCCGGCGCCCCGACCGGGACTAGAACCCGGTGTGCCGGCGCCGCAGGTGGAGGATTAGCCTAGTGAGCCGCAGTGCCGACCAGGGTGCTCTGAATTTAATGAGTGGAAACTCTGAGGGCCCCAGTGCTGCCTCCAATGTGTTGTCATATGACTAAGTATGTCCTCATGATCCATAGCAAAAGGCGTGGTTGCTTTTCTCTTATTCATTTCCTACTCTTGTTATAACACATACAACACAAATTGATGAGTGTGTCGTCCTAACTGTGAGGCTAGACCACAGTGGCAAAGTGAATGTGCGTCTAACTCCAACTCATTGAAGATGCCCATTATGGATGGACGCCAGAACCACTCCTGCTCTTTGTGCCATCACTACTGCTTCTCAGGCTCGTTCTAATCAGTTTCCTTTGTGACAAAAGTAATTACCTTATTAGCATCCAATGATATTCTCTCTTCTCATATATATATATACACATAAATCTTAGGTAATATTCATTATATAGTTGCCTAATTTTGAATACTATATAACAATATTTACTCAATTTATTTTACTTTGTTGTTTCTTCCCTTTTTAATGCACTCGGAGTCATATTTAGAAACATGTAGTGTAGTTCATTCTTCATCATTGCAATTAAAATGTCTACTGTGTGAATATGTGCATCTTAGTCAAGTTCCTCAATTCTCCTAAAACTCTGCTGACTTTTTTTTAATTGTGCAAACAGTTACTGAGAGTGGTGTTAAAATCTACGAGGTAGTTCTGATACTTACTGCTTTATGTATTTTGAAGCTATGCTATTTGATGGAAACAACTGAAAATCACTTTCTCTTTTGTGTTATTCTGAAGAGCCACATCTCTAGAGATAATGAAATCTTGTCCTTAAGAGGTCAATGAGTAGGTAATCCTACAAGAATTGCACACAACACCACTTGGCTTTCACAGACTCTACTGATTTCCTTCAACAAGTTAATTGCTAACTGTGTGTAAGAGAGGAAAGAGGTGGAAGCAGGCACTTTGCCAGGACATGCAGTCTCACTTCTGGCTAGCACCAGCGGTTGCAGGGCTCCACTCAGCCGGAGTTCTGCCACTTGTCTGATGATCTGCAAAGTAAGGATGCATCAGGGGAGAGGCAGAGCACGGATGCTTGCCGTGGCTTGGAGAACACAGATGCTACTTGCTCACGCCCCCAGTCCTATCAGCCTTTGTAACACTGGTTACATAAGTTGTTTGTAGCGTATTCCATTCTTTGTTAATGTGGTCTAGGCCATTCAGTACTTTACAAAATACATTTACAACTTTCGGGTTACAGAATGTCTTATCTCTTTTGGATGAGATGGTTGTATGCACAAATAAAAGAGTATGTCAACACTGATATGCCTATCAGTACTGGTAAAACTTGTTATTAAACAACAATTTTGGAAGAAAAACATCTACTCAACTGCTTTGGGGAAAACATGCTTACCAGTTCACTTTGAGAAAGTCACGTTTTCAAGTAAAGTTCTGTAGGGCAAGCTTACTTGCCCCGTTAAATCACAATTTCATGTTTTTAGGATGTAGGGTAAGGAACCCTAACAGACACTCATCTTGCACTTTACGATCTACCTGCAAATGCCTCCTTCTTATATTTTCCTGGGTTGAGAGTTAATTTATTCTTCTATGTATATAATAATACATATGTATATAATACATATACATACATGTACTATATATATTATGTATAATATGTATATATAATTTATTCTTCTATGTATATGAGATAATAACAATGTCTATTATTTTAATATCTTTGATAACTCACTGGTATCAAAATGAGTCTAATTAATCTGTTGTATCCAACAATTTTAAGAGTGTCCAAAACGTTATTTCCCTGGATTAAGTTGTTCCCCAATACAACTTAAAATGTTACATTTTGTAAGAATCTCTGTTGCATTTTTTAGTATTTTTCCATGTTTTGCATGAATTGCTACTTCTGATATTACTCATCTGATCAGAAGGGGATGCTAATTTTACACATCTTCCTGCCACATGATGCTGAGTAGGTTGGGACGTTATTTGTTTTATTTCCTACGTAGACAGAAATGTCTGTCTGGGGACATCCAGAGTCCTCCCAATGTTCCGGGTTGACTGTGTCTGAGCCATGTCGTTTCCTTCCTTGTCCACGGCCTTCCTCAATGGGCCGTTCTAACACTGAACCTAACATTCTTTTCTTTCTAAACTGGAGGGCCTCGATCCCCTTGGAGACCACATCTTGCCATTTGGCTACTGTTTACAGACCTTGCGATGTACCCTGCTCAGTCATGGTCTTTTCACTTTTTCTTTGTTGAACACTTTATTTAGTAGAGTGTTAAGCCTTTGACTATAACGTAAATTAAAAACATGTTGTTTCAAAGAGAATAAATAAAATATTAGGTTGGAAACACAAACTGGCAGAAAAGGGAGACCTCCAATTGTGGAGTTCCTGTCACTTGAGTATGTGTGAAACTTCTTGCTCAAATTTACCATCATCACTATTAGAATAGATTTTACTTCATCCAAATATTAGACTTCCTATTCTGTTCTAATATTTGCATGATTTATGTGAATAATAGGCTCAGTATACCATGTTTTCTTCATTAATTACTATATTTAATTATATTTCTGATTTCTTAGCTAAATATTATAATATGCATCCTTAACATAAAATTCTAAATCAAATCAATAGCTTTTATTCCCATAATTATGATTCAGAAATACAATTCTACTTGGGTGATTCTCAGTGACCTCTGGGGTCCATTCAATTCTTAAGAGCATGTGATTTTCTGCACATGAAAGCAATAAAAATGGTTTAATGTTAAAATAAATGTTTTTAAAGCAGTATCACTTTCGCCTTTCTCAAAAGGTTTTTTCATTATTTTCAGAAAGAAAACCTGGATATCCCTCTGGTAGATCAAAAGGCATTACATTGAAATCATCTTCTCTCTGCATGTGGTTAGAGATTACTATGACTCACCACTCCTCATTTGCTTTTGCTGTAAAATACAATGTATTCTAAAGGGCAAACCTTTTGTGACTAATCTACAGACACGGCAAATCTAAAATGCCAGGCTGAGGTCCATGGGAGCAACTTCTTATTAATAAATTTCAGGGGCAGGGAAAGATAACCATTGGCAATGTGGAGCACACTCTAGCTTGAATATGCACTGTGTGAACAGGACAGAGGTTTTGGCGGTCATGACAGACGCATCCAGAAGAAAGGAGCCTGCCTTTCTGCATAGCTCAAGATGATTGCCTCCCTAAAAGCAAGGGTACATATGCATGGGCGAGGAAATACAATGAACTAAGAATTTTAGCTAGCTCTGAGATATTTTACAAAGGATAGTGTTGATCTTTGGAATGCTCTCATTTCTATTAGCAAAAATTATATATAAATCTTGTCAGTCGCCATTTACTTTGTGGATAAATGAATACAGGACTCAAATTGGGGGTTGGCTCCAGGGACACACATGCCATGCCTTGGTGTGACAGCCCCATTCTTACAAGGCTGTCCATCTGTATGGCTCGTCCCCACACATGGCAACATCTCTTCCATTAAGAAAAAAAAAAAACACAAATGTCTCTCTGGAGACTCTCAATTTATATTCTTCCCCTCCAATATGTATATATACACACACACTCCAGGGATACCTGGGGCCTGCTTCTCATCCACTGGCACAGATGGCCAACATCGGCAGGGCTCAAGCCAGAATCTCTTTCTGACCTGTGGATTCCTGAACCTTGCCTTCTATGCACTATAAACTCCGGGCCCCCCTCTGTCTCTCGAATGCTCTTCCACACCTCTCACTTCAGAGCACGATTAGGCCTGACCAGCCCCACTTCTCAACCCCTTAGATGCAGCGTGGGACTCCCACAGCTGTCTGCTGTGTTGCCGTGGGGTGAACCTGGGGCTCAAATCGTCCCTCCTCCATGCCCCTGGGGGAGGCTGTCAGACTTGGGCCCCAGCTTCATCACTGTGACAGTGAGGGGGGTGGATTTGCTGTTCTGGTGAGCCCAATCTAGAGCACTCTCTGAGATGACGTTGTGGAATTTCTGTTCCCTTCCTTAGGCGAAGTATCCCCGCACCACTGCCAAATGGCACACGGAGTGAAGACATGTGTCAGAGCTCCCCACTGCCTGCGGGATGCCCCAGCTTCCTGTGCACAGCAACATCTCTGCACAGGCAGTGCTACTCTGCTTCACTTCTGCAGAGAGAAGGAGTGCAGGGTACCGCACCATGTCAGGTCATTTCAAGATCCAGCTGACGGGATTTATGCGGATTTTCTAATCCCACCGGAAGCTTTTATTTAACTCTTCCTGCACAATGAGAACCACACCAGTCACTATTTAATTCCCCTGCACTTGGAGGAAGGCCCAGGTTCTATGAATGGACAAATGGGAGATGAGAACTCAGTTTCAAGGAACAATACGCTCTCAGAGGACTCTCCCTGTCCTAATTTCACAGGCACCCGATTTCAAAGCCTCTCTCCACACACCTTCACCCTTCCCAGTGCCCTCCAATCCACAAGAACCCGTGAAGTCTGCGTGTCTCAAGCAGAAATACCCAGTCGCCGATTCAACTGCATCCACGTCTCAGTCCTGTCTCACAGGGGAAATTACAGCTGACAGGAAGGAGTGTGCGGGACACTGCAGCAGCAGAAGACGTTAAGCCTCTTTGTTGCAATTCCGGGAAATCGTGGGTGGAAATTAGGAAAGATGCTAACTCACCTCCTCACTCTTGTGGTGGATCTGATTCTCTAAGGAATGCTTTCGGAAGTGCCGGACGCAGGCCACAGTCTGTTCCTGAACTTCCAGGATGCCTCCTGCTCTTTGACCTCACCTCTTGTGTTCTGGACCCCAGGCTTCCAGGCTCCGACCTACATGACCTCACCTCTCGTGTTCTGGACCCCAGGCTTCCAGGCTCCGACCTACATGACCTCACCTCTCGTGTTCTGGACCCCAGGCTTCCAGGCTCCGACCTACATGACCTCACCTCTCGTGTTCTGGACCCCAGGCTTCCGGGCTCCGACCTACATGACCTCACCTCTCGTGTTCTGGACCCCAGGCTTCCGGGCTCCGACCTACATGACCTCACCTCTCGTGTTCTGGACCCCAGGCTTCCGGGCTCCGACCTACATGACCTCACCTCTCGTGTTCTGGACCCCAGGCTTCCGGGCTCCGACCTACATGACCTCACCTCTCGTGTTCTGGACCCCAGGCTTCCGGGCTCCGACCTACATGACCTCACCTCTCGTGTTCTGGACCCCAGGCTTCCGGGCTCCGACCTACATGACCTCACCTCTCGTGTTCTGGACCCCAGGCTTCCGGGCTCCGACCTACATGACCTCACCTCTCGTGTTCTGGACCCCAGGCTTCCGGGCTCTGACCTACATGACCTCACCTCTCGTGTTCTGGACCCCAGGCTTCCGGGCTCTGACCTACATGACCTCACCTCTCGTGTTCTGGACCCCAGGCTTCCAGGCTCCGACCTACAGCACCAAGGCTCCGCCAGTGGACACCAGGCCTGCAGGACCCCCTGTGTGTGCTGCGCAAGCCCTCGCCCTAAGCTTCTCCCTGACGCACGTAGGAGTTTGTCCCTGGATTGCACGCTGTGCCTAAGCTTAAGAGACACTCTGTCTTCTCTGTCTTCCTGCGTAGGTGTCCCAGGACTCCTGAGGAGTCCCCACCTGGAAGCAGATGCAGACTGTAAGGAAGGAACCCAGAGAAGGCCACCTGAAGCTCACCTGTGGGAACACTGTGCTGCACTCAGCGACGGGCGTGTGACAGGCAGAGGAAGAAGAGCCTGGTCCTCTTGCTGACAGTGGTGGGAGCCTCCACAGGCGTCATCAGAAGGGCTGACCTGGGCTTTGCCGAGCAGCTGGACGAGGCCGTGTGTAGGACCGGAGTTTGCAACTTGACTTCACTTCCCATCATCTGTGTGTTTCTGGAAAACTTATTTAACCTCTCTCAGGATTTTCTTGACATCTCCAATATGGGAATCATAATAATATCTACTCCTAATCAGGGTGTTCTGAAGCTTTGATACATAAATACATGCATGCCCTTAACCCAGTGCTCAGCACTTAATTACTATGTATTACTAATTGTGATAACTTTTTAAGTATCTTTGCCCAAACAATTATGCCTTGATTTCTGTTTAACTAGACTGTTTTTAGATGGTGAACATTTATGACTCTGCTCTTAAATTTTGGGAAAGATAAATTTCTGATTTTGGATCATTAGCCCCTAACGTGTTAATATGTAAAATTATTTTTCTACACAAAAATGTCTAATCAGAGGTTTATTTCTGCTTTAAATAATTAGTATTCCAGTTATTAAAGCTATAAACCATAGATCTTTATTAATATTTAACATTCAAATTAAAATATTATTCTACTTATAAATCTCACACATTTTAGAAATCATTTCAAATAAGCATCTGAATGATATTTGGTCTGACTTTGAAAGTTTGTTAAATAGTTACCTTTAATAGCCACTTTCACATAATGATATATTTAATTCCCAGCTTAAATATTTGAATTTTCTAACCAAGAAATATGTTTTTTTTTTTTTTGAAAAGCGTAGAGACAGGCAGAGAGAGACAGGGAACTCATTCTCTGGCTCCCTCCACAATCGCTAACAACAGCCACGGTTGGGCCAGGCCAAGCCAGGAAGTCAGCCAGGTCTCCCACAAGGGTGGCGGGGATTCCATCGCCTGAGACATCGCCTGCAGCCTCCCAGAGTCTGCCTTCACGGGAGGCTGGACTGTGGGCAGGAGGCGGGACATAACCCTGGCACTCCGACGTGGATGAGACATCTTAGCCAGCGCCTTAACTGCTAGGCCGAAGCCTTTCCCTTTCTAAAAACCTGAATACATTTCCTGCTTTAATGCATTTGATATGCTTTATACTTTATATCTATTTAAACACATCATTGACTTAAAATTCACTTAGATACCTAAAAAGTATGCACAGCTAAATAATTAGTCCATGGATGTAGTTAATACACATTTTAAAATTATAGTTATTGGCCGGCGCCGCGGCTCACTAGGCTAATCCTCCGCCTAGCAGCACCGGCACACCGGGTTCTAATACCGGTCGGGGCGCTGGATTCTGTCCCGGTTGCCCCTCTTCCAGGCCAGCTCTCTGCTGTGGCCCAGGAGTGCAGTGGAGGATGGCCCAAGTGCTTGGGCCCTGAACCCCATGGGAGATGAGGAGAAGCACCTGGCTCCTAGCTTCGGATCAGCGTGGTGCGCCGGCCACAGCGCGTTTGGAGGGTGAACCAATGGCAAAGGAAGACCATTCTCTCTGTCTCTCTCTCTCACTGTCCACTCTGCCTGTCAAAAAAAATTGTAGTTATTAGACTGTCCGAACTCTTTCAAATAGCACAGTTATTCAAAACACCAACTCCATGGGGCAGTGTTGTGGCGCGCAGGTTAAGCCACCATCTGCAACGTCGGCACTCCACATGGGGCCAGCTGGAGTCTCAGCTGTGCCACTTCCACCCCAGCTCCCCGGTAATGCGCTGGGGAAAACAGCACAAGATCACCTAAGTGCTTGGACCACTTCCACCCACGTAACTTGTCAAAGACCATCCACTCGTGTGGTCTATAAATCCTGCTGACTGAATTCCAAAGTAATTTTGAAAACCACATACTGTCTTACATTTTTGTCAAAATCCATTGCTTATAGAAAAACCATTCATTTAAACACGAACAGAAATATATTGTCCATAATACTACTAATGAGAATATTGAAAGCAGTCATCATAAATACCATTTAAATATAACAAATGACATTCAGTCTCATATTACACATAAAACCACTCACTCATCAACCATTTAAAATTATAAGCTATAGGCAATGAATTTAGGTATTTTCTTTATTTTTAAAATGACTTTCTTATTTCATCTTACCACAAAACAATATTTTAATGCTGAAAGTTTTGACTTTAAAGTGTTTTTAAAGCATTTTATGACATTACATAATTACGTGAAAAATATGTATATAACTAGAAACTTCAACTTTTAAAGAAAATGAGACTCTAGATTATCAACAAATCCTCTGGATTGAGTTAAAATTTCAATTTCAAAGGAAATAACAGGGGAAGAAGTATCCAAAAGAAAGGGAGAGTATGTGCAAACTCCACATCTGGTAGACAAGCAACATGCGGAATACCTGAGGAGCTCAGGAAACTTAACAACAAAACCAATCATCCACCAATACGTGGGCACAGGACGAGATACAAATGGCCAGAAGACCCATGACAAATGCCCGGGATCACCCGGCACCAGGGAAGTGCAAACCAAAGCCGCTCTGAGGTGTCATCCAACTCCAGTTAGAACGGCCATTATCCAACAACAAACAAAAATAACAAGTGCTGGTGAGGTTGTAGAAAAGAGAGTACCCTATTGCATTGTTGGTAGGTATGCAAATCAGCACATCCTTATGGAAAAGAGTACGAACATTTCTCAAGAAACATAAAAATGCATCTGTGATATGATCCAGCGATCCCACTTCTGGAAATACATCCAAAAGAAATGAAATCAGCCTGGGAAAGAGACATCTGCATTCCCATGCTTATAGCATCCGAGCTCACAACAGCAAAGATAGGGGATCGACCTAGATGTCCACCATCTGATGATGGATAAGGGAATGTGGTACACGTACACAGTGGAATACGATGTAACCATCAAAAGTGAAATCCTGACTTTGTAACAAAATGGATGGAATTGGGATCATTATGGTAAGTAAAATAAGCCAGGCACAGAAAAACAAATATTACATTTTCTCATATGTAGAAGTTAATAGAGAGTATAAAAATCATATGATGTTATAATTTGGTTAGCAGTTATAAATACTGTCCTCACTGACTTTAATCATGTACATGAGGATACACCCGTCTTTCTTCACTTTATGATCATTGTTATGAATCCCACATTTTGTGATATTAATATTCCCTGTTTTCAAGAAAAAATAATACAGGGCTGGTATTGTGGGTAAGGTCACCACCTGCAGTGCTGGAATCTCTTATGGGTGCCAGTTGCACCACTTCTGATCCAGCTCTCTGTCATGACCTGGAAAAGCAGTGGAAGATGGCCTAAGTGCTTGGGCCCCTCTACCCACATGGGAGACCCAGACAAGGCTCCAGGCTCATGGCTTCAGGTCGGCCCAGCTCCAGCCATTGCAGCCATTCGGGGAGTGAACCAGCAGATGGAAGACCCCTCTGTCTCTCTGCCTCAGCCCCTCTGTAACTATGCCTTTCAAATAAATAAATAAATAAATCTTTAAAAAATACATTTGTTTATATATAATATCTACATAGGAAATGAATGTGGCAAGATGTTAAAATTGTTGCAGCTTAAATTTTTCAAAAAGAAATATAAATTTTAAAAAGCTGTAAGAAAAGAAATTGCTATGGAAATATGGATGAAGGCACTTTAAATTTAATTAATTCATATCAATTAAAAACAAAGGCAGGGAAGTATGGTTATCTTAGAACTGTATCTATGAAATACATGAAATCTGTTCTTTTATATTAATAAAAATTAAGCAGATGGGAACAGAAAAGGACTTTATGTAAAAACTCAGTTATTTGGTTATTCTCAGTTATTTGGTTATTCTGTAAGATATCACATGGTGAAATATTATCAAAGCATTTTACTTATGAGATGTCAGTTTAATAAGAAAATCATTTAGCTTTGTTGAAAATAAATAAATGGATATCAAGTATCTTGTAAAAGGCTAGGTGCCTACATGCATTATCATTCAGTTTCTCAATATCAAACAGACAATATCAAACAGACTTTCCTACAAATTAATAACTGATTTAATATTTCTGTTATTCTCACATACAGGCATTTTGAATAACATGATATACTCAGAATATCAAAACAGCACTAATTTCAACCCAAATTTACCTAAAAGTTTAACGCAGTAAAAGCACTTTTGTTCTTTTTCCATTGTCAGTGATCTGCAACCAAAGACAATCAGAAAGCAGATATCGCTGCACAGGATGCACTTTCCATTCACTGCAGCCAAGAGCCCTCACAATGTGGGAGAACCACAGGTGTCAAACTTCTACAGAAATACACACACATATGTAAGTGTTGAATACATACACAGCTTAAAAATGAATTATAGTTCTATGTACCATTAACATGTTATCACTATAGCACCAAAAAGATTTAGGCATAAATGTAAAAAATGCTGCATATATATAAATACACACACACACACACACACTGAAAGATTCAAAACACTGAAGAAAGAATTCAAAGAAAATTGATAGAGTGATAGACAATGTTCATGGATAGTCAATATTTTTAAGATGCCAATCTCCACTCACCCTCCAATTCTTCTACACGTTTGAATAAATTCTTATCAACATCCAAGAAGGCTTTTACTGACTGATTCTAAAATTTGGAAAAGCAAAGTGACTAGAATGATCAAAACGATTTTAGAATATAAAATTTGGAGAACTCATACTACCTGATTTCTGAACTTATTATTAACATGTAACATCCAAGACCTGCAACTTGAAATTGTCCCTGGTGAAATCAAAGAGCCATTACATTGAGGAAGTGTGGGGGCCAGTGCTGTGGTGTAGCAGGTAAAGCC